CTTGAACTTCAGAAAAAGTCGGCGGAGATAAACGGACGTGCCTTCATCCCAGTGTCAATGACAGTGTTTTTCCAACTGCAGGTCGTGACCAGCTAGAGGGTCCGGAAGCGGCTGAAGCGGATGTGATGAGAATTTAAAAAAAAAAAATCCAGTGGATTGTAACATACCGGAAGGCAACTGTGTTTTGGTTCCTTCTTCTGATTTGTGCATATGTTTTTAAAATAATTTTTAAATTTTATTGAAGTGTAGTTGATTTGCAGTGTTAGTTTCAGGTGTACAGCAAAGTGATTCCATTTTATATACATACATATATATATATATATATATATATATATATATATATATATATATTCTTTTTCAGATTCTTTTCCATGATATGCTATTACCAGATATGGAATATAGTTCCCTGTGCTGTACAGTAGGTGCCTGTTGATTTATTTTCGATTTGTATATATATATTTTAAGGGCCTGACGTTTAATTTTCAGCTTTGTCGTTTTCATCTTTCACGTGTGCATCAGTGCCCACGATGCTCACACATTGGGTATCTGACTCCAAGGAATCTCTGTTCTACACACTGTTGGCCTAAGGCTGTGGGTAGCTGACCTTTTTTTTTTTCCTTCAAGCCCTTGGCACTTTTAAGCTTTTTGTATTTTGCCTCGAACTGGTGTTGCCTCTTTCACGGTTTGGTGTCTTGGTTGGCTCCGAGGGTGAATCTGTGCAGTCCTCTACTGAAGTCCTGGGGGCACCCCTTTATACATTTTTAAAAAATTCATCGTTTGTGGCTGTGTTCTACACACATTCCTATTAGGTGGGAAATTAGACTTGCTTCTTTAATAATTTTCCTTAAAAAAGGAAGCAAGGAGAAAACAGCGTCCTGTGCAGACGAGCTGGTTGCATGTGCGATGTGGGCTGTTACCGTCCAAGGTGTTGGAGGATCCATGCCCCATGAGAGGGAGACTTTGAAAGGTGCAGAATGTACGGGCCGGGGACAGTGGATGGAGAGGAAAGAAGAAATGTTCTTGATAAAAAAAAAAAGTCATCAGAGGGATGTCTTGAAGCGACAGGTGAGCCCACTGGGTTGGTTTTCATTTTAAGTGGCAGTAGCATTTGGGAACGAACTCCTGAGCGAGGGGACCCGTCCATGGGCTTGGGGCAGGTGGACAGGACCAGGGAAGGCCCCCCAGCGACCCAGGGCTCCCTCTGATGAAGAGGAGCAGGGAAGGAATCCGCTGCTTTCTGACCGTCTAACGCCCTGTCTTGTCTGAGCAAGAGCTGGCGGCAGTCCAGCCGGAGACGGGTGTGGGCCCCGGGGCGAGCATCTCTCTCTAGGTCCACTTGTCAAAGGGTGGCGTGTGTGTTTTCCTGAACGGACTGTCAGTCTTCGGGGGTAATCCTAGAGCAAGCTGGGCGTGGTCCAGCGTTTTATATAGAAGATGAAACATCTTTCCGGAGAGCTTTTGGACGGTGTCTTCCTCTGGCTTGACTCTATCGCCTGGATTGATCCAATAATAATTACTCCCTCCTTGGCGTCACTTTGAACGTGCAAACACATGTCTTCATCCTAAGAAGCTACCCAGACGGTCCCCCCTGCGTCCGCCTCCTGTGAGGGCCACTGACCTCGCGGCTCCATCTCCCGGGACCGCAGCTCGTGTCGGCCAGCGCCCAGCATCGCTGGAACGTGGTCGGGTGTCCCGTCCTGCGATTCCAAACTCCGCATTCATCAGACTTGGTTTATCAACCGGTCAGTTTGCTCTCTGACTCTGTGGCCAGTTCCGTGGGTGTTCAAGTGCGTCTTGGGATGAGGGTGGCCGTGTTGAAATTATACAGGTTTTTGTGATTTTTTTTTTAAGTTAGGTGGCATCTACGTGTTGACGTAGGTGAAAACTGACTTGCTGGTTTAGGCCAAACGTAAAATAAAGCGAACACTAAAACCTGAGGAAAGCCAATGAATGAGCTAACGCAGGGAGCAGAAACTCGCCTTCAAGGCTCCGAGGCCATTTCTCCTTCTCCGTCCCGGTTTCCTGTTTTACTTTACTGTCTAAGCTTTTTATCGTCAGCCTATGACTCTTAGTAACTTGTGCAAATCCTTTCAAGGTTCCTGTTGGGGGCAGCCCAGTGTAAAACGGCTAAGGTGTCAGATAGACGCTCTTGGTGCAGTTAAACTCACATTTTTGGTGCATCCCATCTTCATCTGTGAACAGAAGCGCCCATACGAGTAAGACTTTCCTGGAAAGGAAGTCTTTGAGAATGGGGATCGCTGCACATGGAAACATTGCCAACCCGCCTGGCATAGCTGCTTTGTTCCAGAAAAATACGCGTTAAGCTCAGTGCACTGCAAAGGTACGACTGCAGTCATAAGGTAACAAATGCTAGTTCGGACTTGGGCGCTTTTTAAAAAACGTTCCTTGCAGCAACTGCAGGTCGGGGACACGACCACAGGGACTGCAGGAGAAGGGACATTGGGCGTTTGGATGGTTGGGTTGATGGTCTTCCTTTCAAAGATGTTACCCAGGTGCACGTCCGAGGCATCCGTGTTGCATTCACCAGGAGACCGCGGACAGAACGGAGAATCTGTTTCCACCATTTGCAAGCGGATCCGGTGCCGTCTCAGTTACCTTCTGAAACCCTCCTTGCCTATGAGGTGTCGAGAACACACTTCAGTCTGTGTTTTATAGGGTTGCCTTTTAGGTAGCGGGAGGGGTCCTTGCTTCCCACAGAGTGGGCGCTTGATAGAAATTGGTGGTCTGTGTCTGAGTCACAGCGGGAAGGGGAGGGGATCCCGATGTCTGGAGCGAGGGGACCCATTCCTTTCTAAACGGATACATGGGGTGGACTTCCAGCAGACTGGAAATCCAGGGGAAAGCCTGCCAAAGGGGAGAGCATTGAGGACTTTTAGGAAAATGCCCCCTTTTGTGACGAGCTCACCATGCCTCCGTTTCCAAAGAGACAAGGAAACCCAGGTGCGCAAAGGGGACCTTCGGGTTTCGCCAACTGGATGTTTAACAAGCTATTTTGTATTCTTTTTAAATTAATTTCTTAAAAATGTTTATTGAAGTGCAGTCAGTTACCACGTGTCCATCTCCGGTGCGCAGCACGACGTCCCAGTCATGCACATACATACATACATTCGTTTTCAGATTCTTTTTTCATTAAAGGTTATTACAAGGTGTTGAATATAGTTCCCTGTGCTAGACAGAAGAAATCTGGGTTTTTAAAATCTATTTTTATAAATAGTGGTTAACATTGGCAAATCGCAAAACTCCCAAATGTATCCCTTCCCCCTCCTGCCATTTCGTATTCTTTGTTAAAAAATCTCCCACGTGCTCCAGGTCCTTAACCCTCAGACCGACTGTGGGGTAAGGTGGGAGCTGTCCCAGAGGAGACGTGGAACTGGGGGGCCTGCGGGGCACAGACAGACAGTGCGGCTTAGTCAGTTAACGCTTTCATGGTGTCTCCTGGGTGTGGAACATGTTACATAAAGTCCATCCTTTTGAAGGACAAATTATTCTGCCCCTTTCTCAAAGGAGGTAGTGGCAGCGAGACAGACTCCCCATGGGGGCTGAACCCCGCCTTCCTCGGGGTCCTTCAGTGTCAATAGAAAATGTTGCTCTCTTTCTAAAAATGTGTAAGATGGGAGGTCAAACAGAAGTGCGATTTTTGAAATCTCCTGTGTCTTCAACACAAATCCTGCCTTTCCAAGGATGAAGGCAGATCTGGGTGCCCGTTGGGGGCATCAGAAGACTCCTGATCCCGCAGGGTCTCCAGCTCTCTGTTATCTAACCCGTCAGCTTCACCCTCTGACCTTTGCACGATGCCTGCGCGCTGCTAGGGTCTCCATGTGGTGCGTTGGTGACAGCATGGCTAGGTTTCCTTCGGGGGTGGGGACATCCCGGGAGGACGTTGGTGAGGCCTTGTCACGGGCGTGTGTGTGTGTGTGTGTGTGGTCGGACCGGACGACGGCCGGGTCGGGTTCGGGTCCTCCCTACCCCGAGAGTGACGACGGTCCGGTAGAGGTGGGGACGGGTCCGGGTCGACGACGGCCGACCGGTCAGGC